CATAAGGTATTTCTATTTTCAACCTTCTGAGGAAACGCCATATTGCTTTCCAGAGAGGTTGGACCATTTTGCAGTCCCACCAGCAATGCAGGAATGTCCCAGTCACAATAAGAGAATTCTTACTTCAACAGGTTGAGACTCTACAGTGGTGGTGGTGGTTATGTGCTGTGGTGTCTCTTCAGACTCATAGCGACCCTGTACAGGGTTTCCGAGGCTGTAAATCTTTATGGGAGCAAAAAGCCTCATCTTTTTCCTGTTAAATGACTGGTAGTTTCGAACTGCTGACCTTGAGATTAGCAGCCCGACTCGTAACCAGTACGCTACCAGAGCTCCTTCGAGATGCCATAGAATTTAAAAATTGATTGCAGCAAAGATGAGCTTTTAAATGCATTTCTGTCATGACCCGTATTTAATTTTCAAAATTAAGAGACTCTGCTTTGCGATTTAAAGAGATGTTGTTAAGTGTGGTCGAGTTGGTTACTACTCATACAGACCAGGTTAGGGTTTCCAAGGAGTGGCTGATGAGTTTGAGTGGCTGACCTTGAGATTCAAACTGATCTTGCAGTCCAGTGCTTTATCCCACAGAGCCACACCAAGACTTCTTTAAAAGTTACTTTTAAAAATTCATCCTATGAGGGGAAGGTTATGTCTTAGAGCTGTCATTGTTTTGCCTGGGAGACTGATGTCCACATAGGAGGGTTTCTCATGGAGGAAGGGAATTATTATACAGTGCATCCAAGTTAAAAAATAAAATAATAAAACCCTTGACATTTTTACGGAAAGATCTTTGTTCTTTATTTAATGTTCCCTCACTTACCAGTTAAAATGATATGGATACTGAAAGCCTTTTGCATGCACACCATAAGACCAGAAACAGCCTTGGTCTTGCCTTTTTAAGTCAGCTAGAGAGAAACCCTGCTTTGCACCACCTCCAGGTCTTCTTGAGTATGAGAATCATTGTTCTTCTAGCTTAGTTAACTTAATGTTGATTGTAGCAGGTGGTAATGTTCAGGGATTTTATCCCTGTATAGGTCTCAGTGTATGAGGCTTGTGATGCTATTTGAAGAATTTTTCTATCTCTCTCCATCTAATACACATCTTCAAACTACATGAATGTTCTTGGTGTTAAATGTCGAGTCAGTTCTGACTCAGAGATCCTGTACAGGGTTTCTGAGGAGCTGCTGGTGGGTTTGAACCTCTGACCTTGTCATTCAAATTGACCGTGTGACCCAGTGCTTATCCTACAGCACCACTAATGCCTGCAATTTCATTTATATATTTTTAAATGGACATTATGAGAGGAAGTGAACAGGGAAATCCAAAAAAAAAAACACCACAATCTAAATACAATGTCATTGTAGATACTAAAACAATTACTTAATTGTGAACTTCTTTACTAATCGAAAGCTTTGTGAAAAGGACTCATAGTCAAATTTCAGAATAGAGTTATTAGAATTATGGTAAAAACATGTTGAAGAAAGATTTATTGTCCATTTATTTGTTGTTTGTGATTTCTTTATTTTAAGAGAGGAAGCAGCATGTAATTGGAGGGTTGGGTTAAGGAGAAGACAGTGCTGGTTGTTTCTCGTTTCTATTAGACTTATCTTTGTGTGTGTGTGTGTGCTTTTATGGTTTTATTTAGCACAAATAAAACTCAAAAACAGGCTGTCTATTCCTTTTCCTCGCTGTGCAGCCTGGCGTTGGGATTGGTGACTCCAACGGCCAGCTGGGCTGCTCTTTCCCCAATGGCTTCGCGGTTCTTGGAGGAAACGTTGTGCGCAGTCTCTGCACGGTCAGATTTGCTGCACATGAGCAGCACCTCCAGCTCTTTGACGCTGTGGACCAGGAAGTTACGGAAGCCGCTGAGCAGAGTGTGTTTTCTCTTCTTGTTGCTCCCATAACCAATGTTGGGCATTAAGATCTGGCCCTTAAATGTCCGCACCCTGTTGTCAATGCCTCTGGGCTTGCGCCAGTTCCACTTAATTTTGACCTAACAATCTGATTGGTGCCAGCTGAACTTCTTGGTCTTCTTTTTGACGATCTTGGGCTTCACCAGGGTCTGAGGGCAGCCGTGAGGCCGGTCGAGATGACGGCCTCCTCCGTAGGCAACACAGAAGAAGAGACTTATCTTTGAATAACAGACGTCTTACCATTCTGCAAGGTGAACGGGTCATCTACCAGTCAATTAATGCTGTTTCTAAGTAAAACAGTATAGAATATGTTATGTTGCTACAATAAAACAATGCTTTTAGTACAAACTCTACAAAACGTGGCCTTACAAAATGTAGTTCCTCTCTTCCTCAGTTTTTCATTTTCCTTCTCTCGTTCTCATTATTTGGATCCTTGCTAGGGCCTCGAGGTACAAGGAATGATATTTCTTGCAACAACACTTTTGAAAATGAAGACTAGGATGGTTGCTTTCTCAAACTTGTAATTCAGGTCAGATCCTGGGATGAGAATTCATATTTCTTAACCCCAAAGACTTTTGATTTCTCCATCCTGCTGTTTAATCATTTGAATGCTATGGTATGCTAGCTGTTCAAATGATAATAAGCTCAGCTAGGATTTTTCCTATAACATTTCTACATGCAGCCAAGCGGCACTCAGAAAAGTGTTGAATCCTTTTCTGTCCTTTTCAAAGCATCAAAGAAATACTTTCTAATTCCAAACTTAGGAATTCAATGTGAGAGATGATGGATACTTTTACCTTAATTAAAATGAAAGCTAGAGCTTAAAAAAATGGATACTTAATCATGACTCTTGAAATGAACTATTTACCATATTATTATGACGTGAACAATG